GGGTCAGGAGAGGTCTGCCTGGCCATGTGGTCACCTCCGGGGCAGGCGGGGATCGAACTCATGCGGAAGTGGCTTTAGATTCTCATTGCTGCGCTTTAACCCGCTGTGCCACCAGGGAGGGCCTATATTAATGTTTTTAAAGTATATTGATAGTATCGGAACTCCTTTTAAGTGGCTATCCCACAACCAAGGGTAATAACTTGGACATTGATACTACAAAAGGAAAGTTTAAGGAAGGCTAAGCTCTGGTAGCAGTGTACTAATATGTTTATTGGACTAGAATGGAACACAAGGGAATTGAGCACATGGGAAAGAGATGGTGAGTCCTACTTCAGTAGAGGTAGGACTGAGAGTGTAGGTCCTAAAGAGGGACCTTATGCCTCAAGAATCTGATGGTGCCCTTCCCCCAGTATGACTACTCTTCAGGGACACAAAGCACAAGGCTTTGTCTGAGCTTACTAAATGTTGTGTTTATAATAACTGAATGTTGCTTTTTTGTTGACCATCTGAATTGTGGTAGTTTTGGAGTGGGTCTGTGCACTGCCTCTTGTAACTCATAAAGCCTGTAACACGTATTCCATTGTCTCAAGTTAAATCAGATCTTATAGCAAAGATGATTTTGTGACTTCTGGAACTTACAGTTGTTCAGAAATGTCTTCTGGAGCTCTGTGCAAACCTTGCATTTTTGGTCACACTGCCCTATAGGAAAGTATATGCAATGGCACATGCAATGGCACAATCTATATTCAACCTTTAACTTTTTATTATATTATTAGTCTTTCTGTTTTACATATATTCATTTGTTAAAAGTATTGAGTGGGAAGGGTCTGTATCTTTAAAATTTTATTTTTAGGAAAAGGAAATATTGTAGCAGAGAAATTAGTGTATAGTCTAACTTTTATTTACTTCTTTTGCTGATGATATAAATTGAATCTCAGATTATATATGATCAATTGTGGCAAAGAACTGAGAAAATATAAGTTCATATATTACCCATCTCTTAAAGAAAAAATAGAGGGATAAAAATGAAAAAAAAAATAGAGCTTGAAGCTCATAGAGCTTCAAGTCTTGTCAGTTGTGTTTTAACATGTGTTTTATATACTACAGCAAAATATGAAGATCTCTATGCATTCTCTTATAATCCAAAACAAAATGATTCAGAGCGATTACAAGGTTGGCAGCTCATTGACCTTGCTGAGGAATATAAGAGGATGGGCGTGCCAAATTCAAACTGGCAGTTGTCTGATGCCAACCGAGAATACAAGGTAACTTACCAATTTTGAAAAAACTAAGAAAGCGTTAGTACCAGATGTCAGAGTATCATATTAGCAAATTGTTTTGTATTGTTATAGACTGTTCTTGCATTTAATAAATTCTTGCATTTTAAAGTTTTTTTAAAGGTGGCTTCTAACCTCATAATTTTTGGCCTTTAAGAAAAAGGTTTCTATTTTATTTCATATTTGCAGATATGTGAAACTTACCCCAGAGAACTTTATGTTCCCCAAATGGCAAGCAAGCCAGTAATAGTTGGTAGTTCCAAATTCCGGAGCAAGGGAAGATTCCCAGTTCTTTCCTACTATCATCAAGAGAAGGAGGTAGGAATCTTTTCTTTTGATTTTTACAAAGGTAATATAACTCATCTTTTGTCTTAATTATCCAAAAGAAAACTCATTTTTACATTAAGAAGTTGTTGACATAATGTTGCTAACAGAGTGCTGACTTTTTAATTATATTTTTGAAGTGTTGATACAAAGCTGCCATGACATTCTCACTGAAATCGTGTGTCTTTCTTCCTCCTCCACACTTCCATCCTCCCAGTAGTGACTTGAAAATAATAGAACTAGTGGCCATACAGGCTCTTCTTCCTTTCCTGTGGTTTTCTTCTATTCCTGCTTATAGAGAGGAGCACTAGATAATTCTGACAATGCAGTTTTTGAGAAAAGGGAGAGAACCAGAGATATTCCATTCATTTTAATTCCATTTCCAAGCACTTCAAACTAGGAGGGATTTGCAAATAAAGAGATAAGTAGGTACCTTTATAGTGAGCTGCTGTAATAAGGATGATTCATTTAGTAGGACTTAATCTTGGTAGCCAGTAGCAGTAGGTCAGCAGATACTATACTATGTTAAATGTTTTATATGCATGAGAACCTCATAAGGCAGGTTTTGCTAAGTACCTGTAACTTTCTAATGGGGAAAGCAGTTCAGAGATGATAAATCATCTGGTCATGAATTTGATGACAGTCTTACTCCCAGTATTTTGTGACCAAGTTTTTGTCCTTAGGGAGTTTTTAGAATCTTCTTTCTCCTCATTGTGAAGTTTATAGTGATATGCCTTGGTGTGCTATTTTAAATTCTATTTTTAAACTCAGGTCCCAGTTTTGGGAATTTACTTCTTTGTTCATTTCCTCTTTTTTATTATGTGTGTGTGTTCATTGACAATTGGGATTTCTAGTGTAAGCCTCCATTTTTCTTAATTTTCTCTCCTATTTTCCATCTCTATTTTCTGGAACATTCCCCAACATTATTTCCAAATCATCTCTTTAATTCTTTATTTTGTGGCAGCTTTTTGAAAGTCTGTATACTCTTTCCTGTTTTCTGAACTCCTGTGCTGCCCATGCTAGTTATCTGTTCAGAGTTCCTTTTTTTCTGTTTTTGTTTCTCATGTTTTTCAGATATTTTATTCTTGGCTGATATTTTATTCTTGGCTAACCCAAGGATAAACCCAAACTGAGGCTTTTAGTTTCTGTTTTTTGTCCTCTTAGATTTACTACATTTTAACCCAGATTTGAATTAAAGCTTATTTTTCTCACATCTAAATTTTATATAAAGGTTGCGGACTTCTAGAGATCTAAAAGTCTTTGGAAAATAAAAGTTCATATTTTGCTGCTTTCACATTGTTTTATATTTATTTACTAATCTTTACTTAAACTTGAACTGAAATTATTTTGTAATTGAATAGACCAAAGAGTAAATGTATGAGAATAGTAGGTTACATGATAGACAGTTGGCCAGGTATTGTTTCTAAGGACCTAAGGTTTTTTTTGTTTTTTTTTT